CAACTAAAGGTGATAGATACTTTATTATGGTATAGAACTTAAATATATGCCTAAAAATGCATAATATTGCTCATTTAAGAATTTTTTTTGCCATTTTGTATTTAATATATCTTTCAAATCTTTCAGTTGTTTGTCTCTTTAGTTTCCTTATTCATACTTTTTGTCCTTTTAGTGTCGTTATWTAACTTTCAGCAGTCATTCAGCATAATTATAGATTTCTTTTTCAATATGCATTTTTGATGATTAAGTTTAAGGTCATCTCTGCATGTTTATGTAAGAAAACACAGACAATCTGACAAAATTGAGCTCTTTACTAAAACATTAAAGATATCTTGTTCCAGTGTTAGTGATTTGGGGTTACACCTTTAGTTTAGCTGGCACTATATTCTTAGGCATTATTCCAATAATGTCGTGTTGATTTTATATTTTCAAAATCATGTTTTTAGTTTTTTATATTATACATATATATATACGTCAATTTAAAGTCACTGTCACTGTGTAGAAGCTTCAAATCATTCACTGTTTGAAACATATTACTAAGTATAACTGTAAAACACTGTTATATTTTTAATTGTAAACTGATTATTGGTTATTGTTATGACGTGCTGCTGACCTCTTGGCAAGGTCACCCTTGGAAAAGAGCTCTTGATGTCAATGGGTTTTATCTGGTTGAATAAAGGTGATTGATTAATTGACTGTTTTTGACTATTTCAAACACATGTTCCTTGTAGTTCTGAACAATCATTCGGTATGGATATAWACTGTATTGCAATATAAAACAGTTTAATAACAGTGATATGATTTTTAATGACATTCGATCAATATACGTTATGTCAGTGTATGATGATTTACAACACAGGCTCAAYGGCAGTGCTCAGCTCTACCACTGCTTTCACTACGCTAACAAAAAGCTACCTACAGCACAGTGGATATCTGACCCAAAATTAGCTCAACAGCTGTGAGTGAACAAGTGTCCACAGCTGGAAAAAGAAGCAGAAAAAAATAATTAAGAAAAGAAACACTATTGTAATTCAATGGTATGGAAGTTGGGTTCAGGTATTGATATGACGAACCTCAGCTTTCACTCTGCTGTAAAATGTGCTGGAGAGTCTGGCGCTGACTCTCAGCGAGAACACATCAGGGGTCTCGTTTATAAAGGATTGCGTGGAAACCATAATAAAAGTGAACGTACGTCCAAAAGGCGGAAATGGCGTACGCCAAAAAAAATTCAGATTTATAAAATGGTGCGTACGCACGTTTCTGCGCATCTTTCCTTTATAAATCACAGCTGCACGTCAGAGTTTGTGCATGAGGTCCCTCCTCAGGTTCTACCCTCTACACGCCCACACTCAACCATAAACAGCCAATGCAAAGTACCTCATGAATGTTAAGGTGTATTTAAATCAGTCAGCTGATCAATGCCAACAAAAGCGATTGGCTCAGACGCTCTGTGGTGCGTCTGGAGGATGACAGGTGCTGACAACTGCTCACGTGAACAGAATGTCTGTAATTGACACAGATTTTCCCTCATTTTGCAGGTTTACAGATGTTTAATCTAACAATTTTCTTCAAAAACTCTGCTTCAATTTTATTTTCTCTCAGAGCCTGCAGGACGATAAAAACAATAAAAATTAAGTTAAATAAGTCAGATAAAATTAGAAATAAGTCCCCCGCTCTTCTCCTCGTCCTCTCCCCCTCCTGCCTGCTCTGTTATCCGCGGCAGACACCCCCGCCCCGCGCGCGCACACACGCACGCACGCGCGCGCGCGCGCACACACACACACACACACACACACACACAC